GACGGATCGAGCATGGTTTTCCCCCAAAATGCACGGCGTTTGATCGTTTCGTGTTTCCCCGCGGACAAATAGCGGCTGGCATGACGCACCGTTCGTTTGTTTCTGCGATCTCCGGTTTCGTCGACGAGTGCCAACTTTCCGGTAAATAGTTCGAGACCGCTGCCAACCCCTTGTCGCGACTTTGACAGTGCGTTGGTTAAAAGTCGAGTCCGTGTTTGGACTTTGTCGGGAAAAAACGACTCCCGGGATCCGCCGAGCGAGACGAGATTTTATGGATTTCGAAACGAGCCGGTCGAGGAAAAGATTGCGATGACATTAGAAGAATGTTTGGAGAATATTTGAGAATATTTGCATGTTGCATACGACTTATGGACATTATTCAAACGGGGAAGACATTTCTTACAGGATATTTCATCTTGTCAATGACGGCAGCGATAAAACAGGCATATATCGCTGTTCTAATTTAATACTGGGACATTTGAAGAAAAACGTGATTCGGAGATATTCTAGTATTTCGTATCAAATAGTATTATCTGCGATATTATTATTGTATTTGTTGGTATATACAACGATACTCACACACACACACACACATGCATACATAGGGGCCGAGCTTCATAAATGCACATACAAGCCCGAGCTTCATAAATGCACTTACAAGCACAGTCTTCTCGGGGAAACATGCATGCATTAGGACTCTCATTTACTTGGAATTTACCTAAAGGAATAGTATAAAAGGACTGCACGTTCCAGTGCGAGACACTTCCCAGAGAACTACAGAGGCTGTCTCTTATACACATCTAGATGTGTATAAGAGACAGGTATAAAAGGACTGCACGTTCCAGTGCGAGACACTTCCCAGAGAACTACAGAGGCTGTCTCTTATACACATCTAGATGTGTATAAGAGACAGGTATAAAAGGACTGCACGTTCCAGTGCGAGACACTTCCCAGAGAACTACAGAGGCTGTCTCTTATACACATCTAGATGTGTATAAGAGACAGGTATAAAAGGACTGCACGTTCCAGTGCGAGACACTTCCCAGAGAACTACAGAGGCTGTCTCTTATACACATCTAGATGTGTATAAGAGACAGGTATAAAAGGACTGCACGTTCCAGTGCGAGACACTTCCCAGAGAACTACAGAGGCTGTCTCTTATACACATCTAGATGTGTATAAGAGACAGGTATAAAAGGACTGCACGTTCCAGTGCGAGACACTTCCCAGAGAACTACAGAGGCTGTCTCTTATACACATCTAGATGTGTATAAGAGACAGGTATAAAAGGACTGCACGTTCCAGTGCGAGACACTTCCCAGAGAACTACAGAGGCTGTCTCTTATACACATCTAGATGTGTATAAGAGACAGGTATAAAAGGACTGCACGTTCCAGTGCGAGACACTTCCCAGAGAACTACAGAGGCTGTCTCTTATACACATCTAGATGTGTATAAGAGACAGGTATAAAAGGACTGCACGTTCCAGTGCGAGACACTTCCCAGAGAACTACAGAGGCTGTCTCTTATACACATCTAGATGTGTATAAGAGACAGGTATAAAAGGACTGCACGTTCCAGTGCGAGACACTTCCCAGAGAACTACAGAGGCTGTCTCTTATACACATCTAGATGTGTATAAGAGACAGGTATAAAAGGACTGCACGTTCCAGTGCGAGACACTTCCCAGAGAACTACAGAGGCTGTCTCTTATACACATCTAGATGTGTATAAGAGACAGGTATAAAAGGACTGCACGTTCCAGTGCGAGACACTTCCCAGAGAACTACAGAGGCTGTCTCTTATACACATCTAGATGTGTATAAGAGACAGGTATAAAAGGACTGCACGTTCCAGTGCGAGACACTTCCCAGAGAACTACAGAGGCTGTCTCTTATACACATCTAGATGTGTATAAGAGACAGGTATAAAAGGACTGCACGTTCCAGTGCGAGACACTTCCCAGAGAACTACAGAGGCTGTCTCTTATACACATCTAGATGTGTATAAGAGACAGGTATAAAAGGACTGCACGTTCCAGTGCGAGACACTTCCCAGAGAACTACAGAGGCTGTCTCTTATACACATCTAGATGTGTATAAGAGACAGGTATAAAAGGACTGCACGTTCCAGTGCGAGACACTTCCCAGAGAACTACAGAGGCTGTCTCTTATACACATCTAGATGTGTATAAGAGACAGGTATAAAAGGACTGCACGTTCCAGTGCGAGACACTTCCCAGAGAACTACAGAGGCTGTCTCTTATACACATCTAGATGTGTATAAGAGACAGGTATAAAAGGACTGCACGTTCCAGTGCGAGACACTTCCCAGAGAACTACAGAGGCTGTCTCTTATACACATCTAGATGTGTATAAGAGACAGGTATAAAAGGACTGCACGTTCCAGTGCGAGACACTTCCCAGAGAACTACAGAGGCGTTCATCAGCCTAGAAGACGATCAGACAGTATCTCCGCAACTTCACATGCAGTTACTCTTCTTCATATAAAGTACATTTTATATCCGCTAGGTGCTTTTTTAATCAACAGTATTATATTTGTATTGCATTATTAGCAAATAAACAATTACAAATTACAACAGTATTGAGTGCAATAGTGAATATAATGAATTCAATATACATTGGTGCAAAATTCTGTGAAAATAATGCATCGTTATATTCTAAAACGGAATTATTATTGGAAAATGAAACTTTAAATGCCTTTTTCTTCAAACTTCATTATTCAGACATATCTCGGAATTGAATTAGAGCAGCGATATTTGTAGCCAATGTCACAAAATTCAAAAATAATATATTATTATTATTATTATTATATATTATTATTATTATGTTATATATATTAAGAGTTATTCTGTCAGTTTCGATGCGATACGTCTTTTTTCTGTATTGTAGGAATGGTTGTTTACTCATGTATGTAAACGAATTAGATTAAAAAAGAATTAAACCTTCATTCAAATTACGCTTCTTATCATTATCGTGCATAACTTTTATTTTGCAGTAAAATCCGCGATCTAGAAGCGAGTGATAAACATTGAATCTTTATGCAAATTCGTTCGAGATTCTCTGCGAATGAAACCGATTATCATAGCGTGGATCTTTATGCAAATTTCGATGCATCGATGTTCATTCCGCAATAAACGATCGACAAATTCTGAATCTTCGTGGAAATTTCGATGCCATACGTTCGCCGCGATTGAAACAATCCTCGAACTGTCAAACTTCGGCAAATTTCGATGCTTCGACGTTCATCGTGAATAAAACAATCAGCGAATTACGAATCTTCGTGCTGATTTCGTTGCCTCAACATCGACCGTGAGTGAAACAATCAACAAACTGTAAAACTCTCTACGCCAACATCTTCTCGACAGGCTACTTTCCGAAACATGAATTCACGCTGTCATCTATAAAATTCTCAGCACGTTCCTTTGCGTTCTGAAACGCGAAAATGTCACAGGCGCGTGGAGATTCACGTTTTAATAGACGAACGCCGACGAAATAGGATTTGATCCCTCGCGAGCCCGACGTTGCAAGGACGAGTGAAATCTGACAGCTGCTTGGTTAGCTTCCGAAGGCTTGTTCGCGAACAGAAGCTGGACACGAAGATCGCCACAAAATATGCAACACAGAGACGCGCGGTTCACCGATGAAATATCAAGCATTGTCCTCCGGGCTTTCTTTCCAAGATCGGAAAATCCGCCAAGATCGGAGCGCTTGACACACAAGTCACAAGTTATGACACAAGGAAAAGGGAATAGGACGCTGACTATCTCTGGACTCGAGACGGAGAAAAAGATCGCTGAATTCTTTCGACGTGTTCGCGGCGAGCTCCACGGCGAGAGCTCGCCAAATAAGACAGGCGTACTCGAGCACAGGCTCGAAGTATTCTCGAGTGTGCTGGTATCATTAAAAAATGTCAAGGATCGGTGAATAAGAGAGCCGGCGATTTCGAGCTTCGCGAGACTACAACAAGCCCCCGTTCTCTCTCGATTCGACTGCGTACACTGTTCTCAGAAATTCAACGAACGACAAAACGCCTCGAAGTCGGCGCGCTTTGGAAATTAGCGCGAATGTTTACCGAATGATCCTGAATCTGCTCGGAACGCGCGAGTTTCGTGTCGCCGCGGCTTGACAGCCGGCAAAGATCGCGCGGGCAATTACATGTCCATATTGCACAGGTTTTCGCAACGAAACATAATACAGTTCGCAGATCGCGGCATTTGCATTGTGCGCGGTCGCTCGATGCACCGTTCGATGCGAGGAAGCGAAAGGTGCACCGACGAATCCGGTAGCATCGTGCGGGATCAATCAGTCAGAACAGAGTTGCGTCACAGGTGTCCCGACGATCACGGAACAACGACAGAACGAAAATAACCTTGCGAAAGCCGCGCTGAAAACCGTCCGAGAGTAGAACGATGATGATATCGAACGGCGTGACTCAAGACCGGGCACGGCGATATCGGTATGCTCGAAAGCATTAAATCGTAATTAAACGATCGATCGTAACGAGTGAAGAATCGCCGATAAACCTGTTCCGCGGCGGATCGAGAAGTTCCTATGGAAAATTGGAGCGGCTCGCTGATCGATCGGCTTATCGCTTGATAAGGCCATTCAAACAGACGTCCGGTTCAATTCGGAAGAATCTTTCTCAAGAGAGCGAGCGAGAGAGCCAAAGAGAGAGACAGAGAGAGAGAAAGAAAAGAGCGAGAGCCACCGACAAATACGACTGCACCGTAGAGGATCGCGTTATCGGCCGCTCCTAAATCCACTTGCAGGTTCGATCTGGTCGCGAGACGAGTCGAACTCCATCCGAACTAATTACAGCCCCGGCTGATTGCCTCTTGATCCGTACACGATTGTACAATAGGTTGCGTCAGCGTTTATCTCGTCGCGACGAGGACGACGTCAGACGGCGGAGCGTCGTCGGACGGGTACGAATGCCTAAGATAGATAAATTCGAGAGCAGGTGTCCCGGGGACTCACCGTTCTCGGTGCAACGGAGCGGCCCGGTGGGACTGCCGCCGGTGGAGACACCCTCGTCTTCGCTGCTGCTGCTGCTGGCCTCGCTGGGGCTGTAGCTTCTCCTGCTGGCTGCACCACGGAGGATCTTCTGTCCGGCGGCGGTGCCGTTGTTGTTGTCGTGCATCCTGCTCTGCAGCCTCTCGTGAATAGTCCTCGCCCTGGAGTGCACTCTCTGCTGCTGCATCGAGCCCACGGAGAAGTCCAGCGGCTGGTCGATCTCGGATTGCATCTGCTGCCTCTGTCCGCAGACCGAGACCAGGCTCTGCTGCTGGGTCTGCCCGATGACAGCCTGGCCGATCACTGCCTGTCCGATGACAGCCTGGCCGATAGCGGCCTGTCCGATCGGGGACACTTGCTGCGTGTCCTGATGCACCGTTCCGGGCGTGCTCCACCACTGGTGTCCACCCTGGATCGATCTCCAGGCCTCGATGGTGTTGTTGTTCGTCGGGCTGGTCTGCTTCTGCTTCTGTTGCTGTTGCTGCTGCATCTGCTGCGTCTGCTGTTGCTGCTGAGCCATCGCAACCTCCACCAGGTTGTTGTTCTCCAGCAGATGCATGCTGGGCGTCTGGGTCATCGACGACGGCAACGCGAACAGCGAGGCTGCCACCGAAGGTGGGCTGGGCTCCTGACGTTGCCGATGGCTGGAATGATGCTGCTGGCGTTGGTGATGTTGATGTTGATGTTGATGTTGATGTTGATGCTGATGCTGCTGATGCTGATGCTGTTGCTGTTGCTGTTGCTGATGCGAGCTGGACGGTAGCACCACCGGAGGCGGAATCTGCCGGACGGTCCGCGTGGCCTCGGCGACCCACCGGCGCACCGCCTCGCTGTCTAAACCCGCCAGCCCTGCGGACTTTGCCTTCGACTGACCTCCGGGCGATGATAAACCCTTGTCGGGTATCAGGCCGGGCAGCGCGAGGACCCCGGTGCCCGCCACCGCGACCCTGGGTCCCTGGACGCCCCCGTAAGCAGCCAACGCCGCGAGATCCAACGTGGTCGCCTGCTGCGCCCCTTTCTCTCTACCGAAATTATGCCCACCTCTCTCTTCCCGACCCGTTTCACCGTACCGACACCCGACGATCTCTATCCCCGGGAGCCTCGTCTCTGTTATCCCACGACGGCACAGTACGCTTCTTCATCAACTCACTAGCACTAACAACCCGCACATATACGTCCGTACACGTAAATCCCAGTTCACCAATATGCGTATCGGAGCTAACACTATCCCTACAGAGTGTCAGCACACCGGACCTGTTCTTCCTACGGTTCACCTGGTCACCGGGCTCCTCGTTCGCACGTGTCAACTAACATTCGGCACCGGCGGCGACGACGAACACGGGAAAACAGCGACGGCGACGACGACGACGACGACGATGACAACGGTGTGCCAGTGCTGTCTCTTTCTCACCTGTCATCGGCCGGCCCGGTCAGCCATCGACGAACTCGCGGCCAGTGTCGTCGGGTAGGTGTCCCGCGCGCGCTACCATCGCTCGTCAACTGTCAGAATATCGCGGACTCCCATGGGGCCACGATCGCGGGAGCACTGTGCGCGGCTGACACTCTCGGCCTCTTGGCGAACGGAAGCGCACGTGCGGCACCCGGTTCCGTCTCGGACGGCGACAGGGGGTGACAGGATGCGTGCGTGTGCCGCGGCTACCCCCTCAAGCGGATTCGGCGAGCCGAGGAGGGGGTGAAACAGAGAGAGAGAGAGAGAGAGAGAGAGAGAGAGAGAGAGAGAGAGAGACAGAGAAAGAGAGAGAGAAAGTCAGAGAACGAGTGATAGAGAAAGAGAGAGAGAGAGAGAGAGAGAGAAAGAGAGAGAAAGAAAGAGGGAGAGAGAGAGAGAGAGAGAGAAGAGACCGGGTATATTCGTTATCGCAGGCACACGAGCGTCCGCGACGAGCTACGACGGTGGCAGCTACGGCTGCGACGGCTGGTACGGCGGTCAGATGCTGTCGCGTGCATGTGTGCAGCTACACTAGAGGGCCCACGTACGCCCGGTCGGCCTCCTACCGGCCACCGAGAACGCGGACGAGTACGCGGACCCTGCTCGGCCGAGGTGGGGGAGTCGTCGGTGGAGGGAACGAGAGGAGACGACCGGTATCCGGAGCCGCGGGAGCCCGCGAGCGACAGAGACGCCCGCACACGCTCGCAAAGCGCCGCTCCTAAAACGCCTGGTGGGGAATCGCGCGACGGAGGTGGGGAAGCAACCTCCAATCATGACCGAACGCGGATCAACCGCGGCTCCGCCCGGCGAGGAAAGGATACCTCGACAATCCTCGCGAGCCCCAACGCGCCTTTTTACCAAGCGTGTACCGGCTACTTCGACGTAAGACCATGCCCGAGGAGAAGGTAACCTGGCATTTGCATATGCGAGCCGCTCGGCCAATCGCCGCTACCATCGCCCCACCAGTACCCTCTTTTCGCAGTGCCACGGCTCGCTTTTCGGCCAGCTGGCTTATGGGGACATGGTGATTAGGTTCGCGTCTTTTATAGGGCTGATTTCGGGTTCTACATGCTGAGGAGTCGGGGACGATTTAGTCTGGGTGGTGGCTTCGGTTGTTCTTGGTTTTCGGCTCTGTTGGTCTCCTTTGCGTCCCTTGAATAGGTGATGGAATTTGACGGAGTAGTCGTGCAGTTTGCAGGGTGGGAAGCATGTTATCAGACTGCAGATCTTTATGCAAAGTACATTTATTCTGCATTTTATTGCAAGGGTTGTTGAAAGGGGTTCTTTCTTTAATAACATTTACGAGATAAAGATGGTTTAAATTCGCGCTGCCGTTTCGATTTTTCGCCTGAACATTTTCGCCATAGATGCATAAAATCCGCCATCTAGTTATCAGTGATCAGGTTTTCATCTTTGCCAAAGTTATTTTCCAGCGATAAATGTTGTGGAGACAGTGATAGATGATGAGTTTAAGTGGAATCTTGGGTTGTTCTTGGGTTTCGGATCTGGTAGTTTGCTTTGGTTCCCTTCGTTAGAAGGTAGATATTTTGGTGGGGATTATGGAGTTTGTATGGTGGCGAGTATGTTATCAGTGTCACTTATAAAAAAGGTATATCAAGGTTACTTCGTCTATATCTCGATATCTCGTGTCTATATCTCAAGACAAGTAAACACACTTGGAGAATATAAGAACATTGTATCAGCTCGCGCAAATCATCAAGAAACGCGATAAACGCGTATCCAGCTTCCTCGCAATTGATGTAGCCAAATTTGCATTCTGCAAAAGAATAAGAATCCGCAGAATAAACATGAGCAGCGTGATTATGATTAGGCTGGCAGAACTTGAAGAAGCGCTACTGTGGATCTTCGAAGTGGCAACTGTGCCAAGAATCGTTCCATCCCTTGAATATCAAGCTATCGATACCGGAAGTTTCGTCATCAGAAAACAGAGTACAGCCTAAGCTAGATTAGGTTATGTATCATCGGAAGACTGACTGTCTCGAAATCTGCAATACCAAAAGTTGAAGAACCCTTCATTGCTGAACCCTTCGCGTTCGAGTATCTTCGCCAAGTTGCATCCCTTAAATACCTCCACAGATGTCACGATAGGCAAAGAATTTACCTTCTGTTTCATCAATTATGTCTAGCATGATTATCCGTAGCTGAAAAATCATTGTCTAAAGCAGAAACGACGGCGATACCTTGAACACGAGTTATCCGTCGGTGCTGGAATTCCAGCATCGCGTCTCTCGAAACAACGGTGCCCCGTGGATCGAGCGTGGATCTCGTTCGCGGATCGATACAGTTTCCCCCGAGATCGATCTACCTGGTCCGGTGGATCCGGCAGGATCTGGCATAAGATCCTCCGTAGGAACAGCAGGTGGGTACTTACGCAGGTTAAAACCGCTCGGGTGAACGATCGGTCGAACAATGGGGCCGTTGGTGAATGCTCGGCCGGATTCATTCAGTCCGGCTGAATGAAGATAATCAGGATTTTTTGAAGCACCCCCTAACGATCCGGTAATAACGAGACCGATGCACGATCCATCGATCGCCGTCGAATGACCGCGTAGCTCGACCTTTGGCCCGGCCACAGGCGATCCATTTCGGACGCCATTCCTCCAGCCCCACTACCAGTACCGTTCTCATGAAACATAAAAATATTCCGGGGTTCGATTCGGTCGCCATTCCTCCTCTCACCTATCATATTTCCATAGCCGCGGATCGCCCCGGCCACCACTCCCAGCATTTGAATGCGTCATGCGCAGTCGGCTCGCAAAAAAATCAGCCGGTTTAAACTGGGCCTTTATTGGTCGCGGTAGCCGCGGCGCATCCCCACCCACGCCGTTCGCCCTCGCGTACACAAGCATCCCTGCCATTCTTCCTCTTTTTATCGCGCTATCATATTTCCATACATCCAGGAGCGGCGGCCACCACCACCGCCGCCGCCGGCGGCGCTCCGCCGGCCACCCCAGAGCTCTACCACCTCCCTCACCGACGCCGCCACTCGATACCCAGGCTCGAGCAGATTTGAATCCGGCATGCGCAGTTCCGCGCGCAAAAAGGGCGCTTTAAAGAGGTTCTTATTGGCCATGGGAACACCAGCCCCACTCCTTATCGCGTGTACCGGCTAGCTAACCTTGCCACCCTTCCTTCTCGCCGGTCTTCCACCCCTTCTCCGAGCGAAACGCTTCTCCTCTTCCACGGCGCATCCCTCCGGTTTCACTCTTTCTTTCTTGCTCGTTCTCCTCCGGACACCCCACCAGGCGTCCCGCGACTCCCACGTCAGAAACGCGAGCATCCGCCGAAGCAACCCCCTCCGCCTTCTTCGATGTCTTCTCCTCTTCCTCTCTCTCTTTCTCTCTCTCTCTCTCTCTCTCGCTTGCTCTCCCGTTCTACGGCCCTCCTTTTCCGTCGGCGGTTGTACACACGCGTGCGACGAGGACGAAGACGGGGGATGAAGACGAAGCGGAGGGGAGACGCGGCCGAGAGAGAGCCGGTATTGATTTTAATGACGCCCCTACCGACGCGAATTCACGAACAGGCGCGAATAATATCTACGCGCTCTGATTCCGGGACTTCGGTTTATGGGCACGCGTCGACGTGCCGCGGATTCTCCTTCGATCCGCCGTGGAACGCTTCCGATGGCCGAGAGCATTCTGGGCAGCCGAGGCTGCCCGAACTTATGTATATTCGTCGGTGCACGATGCGTTTTCGCGGCCGAATCGCACCGATATGCAAACATCGGCGGGGAAATCCGGTGAGTCGACGCCTTGAATTCGATGTTCGCGTTCTCGTGAGTGGTACTACCGTTGTCGATTTTCTGCTGGAAGACCGCTTATGCGAAAGATCTTCTGTTAGGTTCGTAAATAACTTCCGATGATGCTAGGTGGAAGCTGTTGTTCGCATCTGACCACTAAGAGTCGACGGGATGAACGAATTTTCGCTTTCACTGAATAGTCGAGGGTGCGAATAGAAACACAAGAGATAAATGGAGAAGGAACAAAATAAATTTCTGATAATTGAGATATCCGGAATAACGTAGGACAGTGGAGCCGGTTATTCTCTGGTGACCAATTGCTGTGCCTTTGGCTTGTTCTTGGGAATAATTCGCTATTTATTAAAAGATAAACAAAGTAAGAGAATAAAGACATTGAATGTGTGTTATTCGATAAATATGAGGTTAATTAGGACCGAAAAAGAACTCTATATTACCAGGAAACCTATTTCCAATTTCTGATCAAATTGCTGAAATTACGAAGACTCTTTCAGAAACAATCGAACAAATTCCTTCGTACCGTTGCAATAAAAGTGACGGAATGTTCAAATAAATTCAATCTTGTTACTACTAGTCACTTTCACAGTTTGTAGTATTAGATAACATAAACACCTTTTACACGAAGAACAGAGAGAAGAATGTCCGAAACGTGGAGCTGTCTTATGACGTGCTTTCTCCGTGAAAAAATGCGCGAAAATGCACCGAATCATTCAACACCTGAATCCCGTAACGAATCTGTCGCTCGATAGACAATCATCAATTACCCGAGTAGATAAGACAATCGGCTGAAGATCCTCGAAATGCGAAACGACGGAACATGGTCCCATACTGATCGCGAGTTCCACTTGTCCCTTAAAGGTGATCATTTACCTAGCGAGGGGAGCCGTTTACGAGCCGATTAGCAGTCACCCCATTTAAATACGTGGTCGGACAGGTGTCGAAAGGGTTAAAAAGTCGGTCCTTATTCATGCGGCATGCGTGTGTCGGGCACTTGCCGAAAATTGAGAGAGGCTCGAGTGTCCCTCGGAGGGGTTGTACAAACATCCCCTAATCTGAATACAGCGCGAACCCTTTCGGGCGGGACCCTATTAGTTTTTTTATTCATCGCGTGCAGGTATTTGCATGACCCAGGTTGAACCTGGGCAGGTGGCCCGGTTCCCCCTTTCTTTCTTTTTCTTTTTTGAATGGAACGACGGGGTAACGTTGTGTATGGAAAATAGGTGGACGGCCTGGCGTGATGGCGTGCCATTTGGCGGATCGCGGGGCTGCGGTAGATCCTTAACATTGTCTGTTGATT